ATAGGAGATTCCACAAAAACATTAGAAAAAAATTTTTTCGCTGTGAGGATGACAGAGCACTGGGACAGGCTGCCCAGGGAGGTTGTGGAGTCTCCTTCTCTGGAGACATTCAAAACCTGTCTGGACCTACTACCTAAATGTGATCTACTGTACGTGATCCTGCTCTGACAGGGGGGCTGGACTAGATGACCTTCTGAGGTCCCTTCCAACCCCTAACATTCTGTGATTCTGTGAATAACTGACTGCAAATGCATTGCCAAATTCTAATCACATCCATACTAAGCTCATAACCACTATCTTGAAAAATCTAATTTTTGCACAAATTTACTCTAACCCACAATTTTTATATTATCTTCTATACTTCTTTCATCTGAGGGGTGTGCAATTGCACATTTGCTATTATAGATGCATAAATATGCCATCTCTCTGGCAGCAGTGAACTTTAGTGTAAATCCATTTAGGCATGTGAAAATGCAAGGTACTAGTTCTGTGGTTACCAACTGGAGGCTGATGGGGGCCAGTTATTTGAGCACGGTGCTGACAACAATGACAACACCGAGGTCACGGATTCGATTCCCACTCAGTCCCCATGTGTTGCCTGGTCTAGTCGAGAGGTGACGTCCCTGCCCATGACAGGGAGGTTGGACTAGATGATCTCTAAGGTCCCTTCCAGCCTAGGCCATTCTATGATTCTATGATGAGGCGGGAACTTCGGGCCAGTTAGTTGCATATAAAATCTATTTACATCGTGAGTCTCAAAACTTAAATTCCTCTGGCTGTCCTTAGAGCATGATCTAAGTTTAGTTCATATGAGATGATTGGCCCTTCGCCATCTTTTGTGTGTGCATATGTGTCTGTGGGCACGCACATGTAAGATTTTCCTTGATTTGATGCTTTCTGTTTATCATGTTCCCATTCATTTGTACTAGATGAAGAGCTACTTTTTTTGGAGCTGCTCTCTTTAGTTTGAGGACCATCAGATATATTCTCTGGCCAGATTTTTCATGATGTTTTAGGTAGTTCTTTCAGATCTGAAGAGTCAGTTATTACTGAAGTCCTTTGAGATATTTAGGTGCACAAACCAAACAGTGACACAGGTTGTAGTGAAAGCATTGTAAAAGTAACAAGGGTTTTTTGTTCAGCTAGACAATCATTACTTAAAAGGTGTGGCTACAAATGCAACACTCTTTTTAGTAGGCATTTTATAACTACGTCAGTGATGTCCTATAAGTGACTAAGTTAAAGGGGTTTCTCATATCTGCGTATCTATACATTTCACAATATCAGTAGTATTCCTCAGGCGAAGTATTTCAGAAGACTTTGTTCACTGTTCACACCATTGAGTTTTTGGCCTTGTGCCTTAAACTCCCTGAGGCATGCTATTCAGAAATCTAGTGTCATTCATTGCCTAAATGACTGAAAAATCTTGTTTTATGAAGTTTTTCACACAGAAGAGGCCATCCGTGCTCTCAAATGCTTGCTGTCATGGCCAGTAGCACAAAAGCATATACAGTATATGTAATACACATGGGTTGTCTGAGGGATTTTATGCTCTCCTGGAATACAACTCATTTTTAATAAGTTGTTCTTGTTTTATTTCATTATAGGAAATGATAATTTCTGGGCTTTTGCCTGAAACTACATACTCCTTCACTGTGACAGCCTATACAACCAAAGGTGATGGAGCACGCAGCAAGCCCAAACTCCTGTCTACTACTGGTGCAGGTAATACTCACATACCTGTTAAACTGAAAAAATCCTTTAAGTTTTCCTGCTAGTGTTTTGCTCCTACTGTTTGGAAGTCTCTTGTTATGTAAAAAGTGTTTATAGGATGTAAGAGGTTCTATTTCAGTAACTGGCCCTTCATTTATTTAGGTGAAAACATAGCCAGTGTCCCCCTTTGTCCCTTTCTCAGTTCAACATGCATCCAAAATCTGATATTTAACACTATGCTTTTTAGTTGCTCTTCCATTCTGATTGGTGTCTTCACCAATCATAAAACAAAGATTCAGAGCTGAGAAGGGTTTTGAAAAACTTTTAAAGGATTTTCCTGACTGAAAACAGCAATACTGCTGCCTGATAGTAAGAACACTGAAAGAACCTGTTTGTATGACAGTCACAACTTAATCAAATGATACCACCACGGGTTTAGTGTGATGTTCACCTACAGGTGTCCACAGCCTTTTCTGAGTTTTGCAGTAGCCAGTCAGGATATTCCATTACAGTCACATGGAAACCTCTGTAGAACAGTTGCAAGCTCTCTTAATAACAAGGTATTGGTTATGCTAATATATGCTAATATAAAGTCCAAAAGGCATATGTATTTGCATTTCTATTGACTGCCTCCATTTTTAAAACAATCACTGAATGTAAACTGTACTAATATCACAAACATCGATATACTTATCTCATCAGCTTCCTTGGAAAAATCTCAGTCTTGGTGGCTTGATATTTCATATCATTTCAGTCCAGATTTTAAAGTAACTTCTTGTCATTAGTCTTTACTGATGCTGAAACTTATCCTTCGACTTCTTATTGTTCTTGAATTCCCATGGCCTGGGGAAAAAAAAATAAAAATAAAAGGTGTATACTTTTTAACTTGCATTTGAACTTAAGAAAAAAGATACTTGCTCCATTAGTCTTTTCAGTTTCCAGTTTAAATAAACTCAGTTATATAGGTTGTAGTTTGGTTAGTTTCTACGCATAAGCATAAGCTGTGCAAACCTGCTTGCAAAACTTCGTCTATGCATTTAGTCCTTATTGACTGTCTATGTCTCAGTCTTCCATGATCTCTGATTCTTCTACTACACAAACAAATCCCACGTCCCATTAAACCTCCAAATGACTCAAGAGCAACTGAGAATCAGAGGCATGCCTGTAAATGTAATACATATGGCACTGTTCTTGCTGTTTGCTTCAGCTTGCGGAGAAGTAATGCTTTTTCCTGGTGTCTGGGATAACACCTAGTTACTATGTTTCTCCTTCATACATTCCAGGTTGTATGTACATCTCTTTGCTTGCTGTTACAGCTTGCTGTGATTGAGCTCGTTTTGTAACAAAAAATTCATATGCAGGTTTTTTGAAAAAGGAGACAATAAATATAGTCAGTACTGAGTTTCCAGCTCACTGTCTCAAGTATGAGAATATATCAGGCAGGTGAAGGAATAATGCATTGATACTCGGAGTTAGTTCTGAAATATAGCCTCTTATTCTCTGAGTGTTTCCATTTGTTTTTTCTTTTTTTCCTAAAAAGGTGCTATCCATAGGCAACAATAAAGAAAATGAAGAGTCTGACTTTCTAGTCTAGTTTTGAAAGGTTCATGTCAGGTGCAGCTGTATTAGAATGAGTGAGATTATATTCATAAGAGATATGAATGGAGAATAAATTAAGTGTTCACTAAAGGTTACTATTCGTAAGTTATTCAGATGATAAGTAACTATTCATCTGTGTTCAGTTAGTGATATAAAAGCATCATTTACATTTTCAGACAGGAAAGATTTACCAAATGAAAGTGAGCCCACAGATGGCAACTACGGTTATTAGTGAAGTTAATAAATATGGTTAGTATTTTCACTCCAGAGTATGTTTTTGTCTTATATTCAGTTTCCTTTCCAAGTTTTTGAAATCAGATGAATGAAGAACTGTTACTGAATGTTTCCAAGTCAAAGTATTTGAAAATTTTAAATTACTTGGGGCAGAAGTTGCAAAATACGTGGTTAACAAGACCTTGATAAAATTTAAGATAGATTTCACTAGATCAGAGAATATATTTTTTTCATGGACTATTTCACTTCTTTTGGCCTCATGGAAAATTTGCATATTATTGACAAATTTCTAGATAGAGCTATTCCATGGCCCAACTGTATATAGGGCTGCAGAGATCCTGCTCTTTTTTTCCCACAAGACTGTAATATTCACAAGTGAGTACACTAAAAGAAAATGTTAACTGATATGTATCTAGACATAAAAAGAGAGAGAAAAAAAACACATTTTTTTTCTCCATCAGTAGTTGTGTGTTAACAAAAAGGAAATTCATGCACTTCACAAAATCAAATAGGCTCCATATTAAAAAAAAATAAAAATGAAGTAGCCAGTGTTATTTACCATTTTAACCACAGGGCATTTTTTTGGATAAATGAGCTTTATTAATTCCCGTGGTCTGGTCAAGAGCAAATAGTAATTTCTTTCTTTCCCTGTAGTTACCACAAAGGTTAAAAAATAATTCTAACTGTGATGTCTGCCTCAAGAAAAGAAAGCAGTTTATCACAAAAATAATTTAGTGACACCTTCCAGCAGTCTTTTCTCCAGAAAGCTGAAGAAGTTAGTATTCTATTTGTGTGGACTCTTCTTCTCTTTCATATGCTCCATTGGTTTCAGCAATAGTTACAATGTAGAGAAAAATAAAGCTTGCAAAAGGCCATCACAGCCTTTTCTTTGTTCCATAAAGGCTTGTAATAATCAATGAGGAAAAGGCAGAACTAGTCAGGGAGACATTCTTTGTGCAAAAGAAATTGTAGGAGAATTCTTACAAAATTCCTGGGAATGACACTTGCAGGTGAACTAGATGTTTAAAAGGAAGGGTATTTGGAATATTTATATAAAAAATAGCTATAAATCTTAGGCAATTAGAAACAATGTCGTGACTTATGACAGACGTAATATGGAAAGAGCTTATTAAATGCAGAATTTTCTTAAAGACATGCCATTCCTCCCTCTTTGTTTCTAATTCATTATGGAATGGTAGCTAGAACTTCTGACAATAAGAATATGATTTGCTGGGTGCCTGAGAACTGGAGATAAGTAACAAAAGCCATTGAAGTGTTTAAATGCAGGAACCAGAGCTCACAGTGCAGAAGTTACATTCATATGGGAAGGCTTTGAATGTGGAGGATATTAATTAGTCTTCATGGAAGACTATGTTATCATGGCACTACTACTCCCAAAACTATTCTAGTCTCTTGATTTGTCAGGCATTGGCACACAATGAACACCAGATTTCTAAATAGTTGTGGATATGCTTCATTATCAGATAAGTCACTGTAATATAAACAGACTATTTTGAAATAGAAATATTAATGAGAATGTAAATTAAATATGCAAGTATATAAATTAATATGAATAAAAATGTATAAATTAAATAGAAACTGTGAATGAGAGCAATTGATATTTAGACTCCAAAAATATACAATGGGCTGTAAATTATACAATGGGCTTTTCTCCTTGACTGGTGCTAATTCAATCCTCTAGACTGAGTGTCCTCATTACACTCACAGTTCGAACTTCTCAGAAAGACAAATCCTCAGTTTGAACCATTAAGTCCCAGTTAAGGATCGGAGTGTATCTGGTGTGCAGGTTGAGAAGAGCTTCCAATTTAGTCTTCTTAAGAAAAAAATCCAGTTCTCATGCACCAAGACCATGCTAGAAACTGAATCATGTATGATAAGCCGAGACAATAAAAAAATTAAATTCTCAACTGTGCTACCACTTCAAGCTGAAATGGCCCATGCTGGAGGCGATTTGTGTACAGAAAGTGGAATGATAGAGTTCTGTCATAAATATTAATGATTGCTGATTACAAGATTGATCTGACTTCAATTCTACTGTATTTTAAATATCAATGGCAAAATTTAAGTTAGACATATTTAGAAACTTATGATTTCTCCATTCTTACTACTACTGCTACTACTACTACTACTACTACTACTACTACTACCACTACTACTACTATTACTACTACTACTATTATCATTAATTATTTTTCCATTTACAGGAATGATAGAAATATGCCTTGGATTAAATTAATGAATACTTATGACAATACTCTTTTTTTGCAAGCAAGGATTTGTGAGACAGAACCATTCATAAGACATCTGTTTGAAGCTTTACTCCTTGACTTGTTTTGCTAAGTCCTGTGCCTCTGAATGTTATCTGTATTTAGAAATAATGATAAGGGAAGAAGATAACAAACAGTAAATGGCTTTTCTATCATAGTTTGCTGTACTGTATGACTGAATAGTGCAGAAGGCAAACATTGTTTCTTTTGTAAGACAGTAATTTTTAGAGCTAGGAGTAAGGGAAAAGGAGATTTATCCCTGTTCCTGCCAAAACTAGCCTCAACAATTGTGTGTGAAATTCTGTTTGTGTTTATCATCTTTAAATAACGTTGTGCTACAGTTCCAGGCAAACCTCGGCTTGTGATTAGCCACACACAGATGAACACGGCTCTAATTCAGTGGCACCCTCCTGTGGACACTTTTGGCCCGCTTCAGGGTTATCGGCTGAAGTTTGGTCGCAAAGATGTGGATACATTTACAACTATGGAGTTCTCAGAGAAGGAAGATCACTTCACGGCCACAGACATTCACAAAGGAGCTTCTTACGTCTTCAGGCTCTCAGCTAGAAATAAAGTGGGCTTTGGGGAGGAGATGGTTAAAGAGATTTCTGTTCCTGAAGAGGTACCCAGTGGATTTCCCCAAAATCTCCACTCAGAAGGCTCTACTTCTACATCAGTTCAATTAACTTGGCAGATGCCACTCTTGGCAGAGAGAAATGGCATTATCACCAAATATACCATCTTGTACAGAGATATCAATGTTGCTTACCAGCCAGTTGAACTCCCTGTTGTTCCGGCTGATACCACTATGACACTTTCTGGCTTAAAACCAGATACCACATACGATGTAAAAGTACGTGCTCACACAAGCAAAGGGCCTGGTCCATATAGTCCAAGTGTCCAGTTCAGGACACTACCCGTGGATCAAGGTAGGATTTGTCTGCTTATGGCGTTGACATTTAAAGGAGTATCGGTCTTTGGATATCAGTGTTTTTGAAGCTGTAAATAAAACTGATCGGCCCATTCATAAAAATAGGTTCATCAAACACAAAAGGTAAAGTATGTAAATCTTAATATATTTTGGATGCCTTAGAATTGAGTTGTCCCTTGCCAAGCAAGTTGTGGCTAACATCTTCACAATCTTTTCAGGTAAGGAACGTATATGTATTTTCACTAAATAAGAGTGAGAATGAGTTAAAATGTGGTATTTAAATATGAGCAAACAGGTAGGAGTATTGAATCCTTGTTGGTTTTTGACGTAAATGGAAAGCTAATACTCCCAGATAGCAGTGGAAATATGACAAAATCTTTATTCCAAAATGTTGTTTCTATACACTGTTTCTTTTTTTCCAGCAGTGTTTGCAAAAAATTTTCATGTTAAAGCAGTAATGAAGACTTCTGTTTTGCTATCCTGGGAAATTCCAGAAAATTACAATTCAGCCTTGCCTTTCAAAGTAAGTTACTTTTCATTTGTATAAGCAAAAATACAGAAACAAGAGGATATTATTCACCTGGTAACTGAACATGTGGATTTTTTTGGTATTGTTCTGTTTAAGAATACAAACTAACCTGCAATATTGACCCAAGCTGTTAAATTTGGTCATTAGGCAACATGAGCTTTCCACTCGTGTGGCAGTATTTCCAAGTCAGGCTCATGCCGGTTATTATGCATGGTATGAACACCTTCCTAATTTGTATCTTCTTACTACTATTTTCTAGATAAAACAGTGATAGAAAAGTATATTTTTCTTCTTTGATTTTTTTAGTAATTTCTGTAATGGCTGTAATTAAGTACCATTTTGGGGTTTGTCTCCTCATGTATACAACAATGCATTTTTGCATTACAACTTGTGCTCCACTAACTATAGCACTAGCCAGATGAAGGGACTGCAGTCTGACTGGCATGTTTGCATCATTATTCATCACTGTGTCGTCTCAGGCAGTGGCAAGTGAAGAGCAGTATTTTGTAAACTAAATGCAGCAAAAATCTTTCTGAATAAGTGAAGTTGAATTGTAAGAGTGCTTACACTGCTTTAAATTAATGTAGCTATTTTTTTTACAGTGAAAACAAGCAGTTTAGTTGCAATAGTGAATTCAGTACTATCTTATAGCCTGAAATGACCAGGAACTTTCATTTTAAATCTATAGAAAAGTTCATTCCAGAATTCAGTGTGGCCGGAGCAGTTCTCTTCTTTTAGTAACCAAAACTACCTTCAATTTGTATTTTAACTTAGATCCTTTATGATGATGGGAAAATGGCAGTGGAGGTTGATGGACGAGCTACTCAAAAGCTGATCACTAACTTGAAGCCAGAGACGTCATATTCATTTGTGCTGACAAACAGAGGGAATAGTGCTGGGGGACTTCAGCACAGAGTGACAGCAAAAACTGCACCAGATGTGCTTCGCACCAAGCCAGTCTTCATTGGAAAAACCAACTTAGATGGCATGATAACTGTGGAACTTCCAGAAGTACCTTCAAATGAGAATATAAAGTGAGTTAATGAATGACATACCATTTTTTCTATGTTCATAAAGATGATTATTCTTGCTGCTAGTAATATCTAGACTCATGGTGGACTAGGGCTTTATTCTTTATAATGGTACAGAGGGGACAGCACTCCACAGTAGTGCTTGAATGGACTAATATTTGACAATACTAAACTGGGAGGTGCTGTTGACTCGTGATGGGGAAGAGGCCTTGCAGAGGGATCTAGATAAGTTGAAGTGTTGGAAAGTCATCAGTGGTATCAAATTTAACAGGAACAAATGCCAGATTCTGGTTTTAAGATACCTGAATGCATCCAGCTGTGGACAACAAAGCTGGTGAAAGGGCTGGAAGGCATGTTCTGTGAGGAGCAGTTGAGAATTTTGAATTTGTCTGGTTTGGAGAAAAGGAGGCTAAGAGGTGACCGTAAGGAGAAGTGGAGAGGGAGGTGTTAAGCTCTTCTCCCTGGGATCAGTGACAGGTTGCTTGCAAATGGTTCAAAACTGCACCAGGCAGGTCACACTGGAAATTAGAAATCAATTGTTTACAAAGAAGATGTTGAAACACTGCAACACGTTTCCTAGAGAGTTCATCATGCCCTAAACCCGTCAGTGTTTAAGAAGCATTTCAGAATTAATTGTGAAGTTTTTTATTAAAAGAAAATCTCAAATCCTCTCCACAGGTCCCTTGTAGTAAACAGAAGATTTTGCTGAAAAATTTGGCAAAGAGTTTACTAGAGGTTACTTAGATTTTTGGGTAAAAGGTGTTGTGGAGAATTAAACAGCAGAAATAGTATTAAAAAGCTGACAGCACATGGTCAACAGGGATTAGAAAGGTTAGACAATAAAGATTTGCCAAGAAAACATGAAGCATGGTGCAATCAATAAGTGTTATTGCTCTGCTTGTAGTGATTCTTGTTGGTCTATAAAGTTCCCATGTGTAATGTAAAGGAAATGGGGAGGAAAATGAGCAAGTCATTAGATATTGTTGGAGATTCAACTTGTCCTCTCCTTGGTGTATTTTTACTGACGGCTTTGTAGAAAGCTGTTCCCCTTTTTCATTACTGAGTCAGGATTTTGAAGCAGGTGAGGTCAAGAAAGAAATTACTTTGAGACATTAAAAGAATAAAAAACTGAAAAATGTAGCCATTAGCATTAGATTGAGTAAGATGCGGTCAGTAACAAATGCAGCTAAGGAAGACTGAGGATGGAATGAGTCAAAAAAGATTTATGAAGCATAGCATTCACAGAGAGAAAAAAGTGCAGTGTAGCTGGTCAAACAACAGCAGAAGGTAGCAATGGAAAAAGAGCCAATGCCCTTCCTATAACGTAGTGGAAAAAATGAAAAATAGTAAAGCGAACAATAAAAAAAGTTTTTCAAGACATGCCACATTTTCTATGTTAGCTGGAAGTAACAGAACATTGTTGCCTCTACAATTTGCAGCATCATATATTTATGTGAATATTTTCCCTTTATGTGGACAGCTTCATTTCTCTGCTTGGTGTTGATATACTTATGCGTTCAGCATTAAAATACTCCATATGTGCTGAAGGTCTTAGTGGATGATCAAAGTTATGAGTGGGAGGCATGCATGAAGAAAGTGTGAAAGAATGTGAATATAACATTTACATGCTGGATTTTCCTTAATTGAAAAAAAAAAAAAAGTATGAACACTCTGTTAGCTTAAAAAAGAGGTAGAAGAAACAAAATAAAAGGATAAGTAGGAGACTGCTGTGCAGTTTATCCAGCAGATGTAACTTCAATGTCTGAAAGATGCAGAAGGGCCAGTTCTGAATTGCTTTTTCTCCTGATTCTTAGGCATCTGCTAAAGAAAACGTATGTAGTTTGTAGTTGTTGTACACATGGATAAATCAGCATTTGCTAGGATTTATTATTCATATAAGTAAAGAATTTCTAAAATACATACTCAAATTTAAAATCTGGGATCAAGAAGCAGTACTAGTTTTGAATAAAAACATCAATGTAAAAGACAATTCATCATATTGTTACTGTAAGAGTACAGATTTTCTTTAGATACTGGAATACAGCAAATGAGCGGCAGTTAAAAAAATGTGACTAACACATCTAGTTTCCAGCACCTCCTGTTGAAGCTCAACATTTCCAGAGAGAAATTTCTCAAATTTCTTAACGCAGGAATGAATACTTATGTATATTTACTACACTAGTTAAAAATCCAAAGTTTTGTTGCATTTCTTTTGTGGGAATGAGCTTTAATTAAGAAGGGACCATTGAAGTGGACCAATGGTGTATGTTAGTATGGAAGAAAGTTTATAGAGTCAGTTTAGTCTGAGATATTTTTTGATCAACCATAAGGCAAATCTTTTTCTGCAGACTTTCTTTCATTAATTACTTCAGGTTTTTCAACAGCATTGCGTGAGCAAAATGAAGTTATTGTTGCAGAAGTTTGAATAGACTGTAAAAAGTGCCATACTGAAAGAGAGGAAGATGGTCCATGACACACTGAAATTGATAATTCCATAATGAAATTCACGTTCATAGTGGAGAACCAGAGACACCTTTTCATTAAGCTCTGTTGTTACTAGAAACAAAGGAGAGAAGCTTCTTTCTCTGTTTTCTGAGATGGAGTTTGCTTGACTTTTTGACAAGTGTGTTTGTCAAGAAGATGTGTGTTATAGCATCTTGGATGTCCTACTGTTATGATTCTACTGCTTCTTTCCTCAGACTAATGTGAAATTATGGATCTGCCTGACACGCATCCACAATTTGTGAAGGAAACAAGGAAACTGCCATATCTCTGTTATGCTAGAAAGTGTAATTTACTAGTCTCGATGGAGGGGGAGAGAAAGATATTTTCGGGAAAATGTTTCTGATGAAAACTGATATATATAATTTGCAAATCCTAGCTGTAAAGAGAGCATACATCAAGCTCTCTTGTCTATGACTGTGAACAGAATACTTAAGTAGATAAAGTTGATGGTGATTGATTCTCAAAAGTGACGAGTGTGTAGGTGGAGTGTATGCTTCTTTATTTTCAGTTTATAATAGTATAGGCATCAACAAACACATTATGTTAACTTGCTGTTCAGATTATACATGAAAATGGGGAGAGATGGAGTAATAATTGATATTTAAATATATGGTAATATGTTTCAGTTTAGGGATTTATTTATTTTTTTCCTCAGAGTGATGGTGGCAGGGCACAAATATCCCATGACTCTTGTGTTTCAAATGAAATATTAAACTGCATTCAAACATGTAGGCATTTTAGAACATTGTAATTAAAGTTTCTTATACATATTTATATGTTTACATGAAAAGGCAGGTAATTAGTGCCATTTGGTTGTCAAATGTTTTACAGTGGAAGTGGTTTCAAGAGTGTGAATCTTTACAACTATGTTTTGAATGCTTCCAGATATTATTTGGAAGGCATTATAATGTGCAAAAGTTTGCTCTCGAGGTATAGCTGTTCTCTTAAGTTCCTCTGAACAGATATCTATTCCATCAATTTATCTATTCTTTGTCCTTCAGCTTCATTTTATCCAACTGCTTCCTTTACAGAGGTTATTACATAGTTATTGTGCCTTTGAAGAGGTCTCGTGGAAAGTTTGTCAAACCGTGGGAGAGTCCAGATGAAATGGAGCTAGATGAGGTACTCTGTGTTTTTGGTGTCATCTTCTCCTGTATTTAAAAAAAAAAAAAAAAAAAGTCTTATTAGCAGTATGTGATTAACTTACCAGTTTCAGAAGTTTTGGCTGTCAGGATATTTTATATTTATATTTGAATTAGCCTCTGGGGACTGAAACAAAAGTTCAAATTACTTAAATTAGAAGACAATAAAGACACTAAGTTGCAATAAAGCACATAAACTGTCTGATCTTTGTTGGCATTAATATTTTATTCTTTTTCTGTTGTAAAGTGTAACACAAAAGTGCAGGAGGTGAAATGAGTTGTCAGCAAAAGCTTAATCACCAATGATATGAACTCTAATAAAGGTCTAGTTCATTAGTGGAGTGTTTACCAAGACTGTAACAAATACTAAATTGTAATTTGCACTGCAATTTAACATTTGACCTTTTTGTGGTGTTTTTACCTGATTCTCGCATACTATAATGCTTATGGTTAGACAACTTTTACAGTAGTCTCCATTCTACTGACAGTTGTTATTGTTATACCTGGCTAAGATTTTAGATCTCATTGAAGTGGTATGGTAAGTTGTACGTGCAATATCTCTGCAATTCAAAGACTCGAGATCAAAGTCAGTTTCTTTACTCCCATTTCAGTGATCTCTTGACTGGATCCTGGCTATTTTTCCATTTTCTTGTAGTGGATTCTAGAATTTATATTACAAAGAAGTTTCACCATATGCTTCCCAATGATACAATCACTGGGAAGTAATGATCATCTGCAAGCAATCACAAGGCTTTCTTTCCCTCCTCCCACTGACAAAATGATTATCAATTTCAATATTTGCACCAATGTGAGGAAAATAAAGGTCTTCACCAAACTAACACAGCTGTAGGAAGCTTTCAAAATATTAACAGAGGCCTTTCAGCCTTTTGTTTGTTTTCTGATCAGAAAAGGCAAAGAAGAATATGTACAGCAACAGGAGAATCCTTAATCAGAAGATTAAAAACAACTGTTCAAAGAAAGGCATGGTTTTCGTTACTGCTGACTGACTGATTGAAGCCTGTGTTTCCTCTGGACCAGTTTCATTTATGTGATCATCTCATTTGATGCAGCAAAGACTTGCTTTGATCTGTTAACTTCCCTTTAGCTTGGATTGTAAATGCCATCAGTTCATAATGATAGTCTTAGGTGATGGCAGATGTGGTTAAACAGTAAAACTCGAGACAGCAAGATCCATACAGTAATGGAAAACTGATTTAATATTACCACCCACTTTTAACATCCAAAGACTGTAGTCACATTCAGCAGCATTAGCAGATTAAAGCAGAAGTGCCAGATGACATTGAACTTTTTGGCAATTAAATTCTACAGGTCCTACTGATACCCATAACAAAGGGTCATTTTAATCATACTGCAAGTTGTGGTGCATTAATCTGTATAACAGATTGATAAAGAGCGTTTATTAATTCAGAAATATTTGGGTCAGGATGGATTGTTTCCCACTTCTACTGATATAATTGAGACCACATTGTAGAATTAATGGGGGAAGAAATAAGGTATGCATTGACTGGAAAATGAAGATCATATCTGATAAAGATCTAAAACTCTTGATATGTCTTTTACAATTGCTAGCAATACATATAGTAAGAACTTAGTAGGGAAAAATTCAAAAGCAAGCAGCAACTGTATTTCATACTAACTCATTCAGTTTCTGTTACTTAAAAGACTGTTTTACTTCAGCTTTAGAAAATATACGCATATTTTTATTAGGTGTACTATTCCTGCCAAACATGTGAAAGCAGTGGCACAATGAATAAATTTGGGGAAAAACAAAACAAAACAAAAAAATAACCACACTATTTTCTGAGCAAATAATGCCTGATGGACAAGCGAAGATATTTGTGAATATTTTTTTTTATAGTCTTAGATATCTGGCTAGTATCAGAAAGAATTGGGCAATAGATTTTCAGAGAAGTATATTCCAAATACTCTACTTAGATTGTAAGAAAAAAGTATTTACTGAAAACACTACTCTAGAGTGTTAACTCCAGTGCATAACTGACCAGTGCAAAGGACTCACCAGCCTTATTATTCTTGTTTACATGAATCTCAGTTCTGAAAGAAACTAGGATTGCAGAATCTGGATCCTGTATATCTGAAAATAATAGTTAATAGAGATACAATCCTTTTTTATTAAGTCAGAGTTTAATTTTACTTTGAATATCCTAGGATCTAGTGACTTTAAACAGACATGTTATGCAAATAAATGAAATAGAAAAAAATTATGATTTGCAGTAAGTATTACCTAGTAGGATTATTTTAGATTTGTAAGCAATAAACCCAAATAAAAGCTTACATGTTAAGTCTTAAATCAATTCAGTAAATTTATTGACAAGCTGGTGTAAAGTAGAACAGGAGATATATGGGCAAGTAATGGTATTTGGCAACAGCGCCATTTATATATGAAACATGAATGAGGCCAGAGGTTCACCTGAGGTCTATTCAGTCATGTGTAATCAATGTCACAGACAAATTTTTTGTTTACACACGAATACACCACAGTTTAACTGGCCTTAGGTGAGAATAACCGTATTTGAAAAAGTTGAACACATTTTGTTTCATTCAGAGTAATTATCTTACAGCACTCATAGCCAAAACTCAGTTTCTGATCACTGCAACCACTATAGTACAGTGCTTCAACACTGCTATCTGTTAAATATATGCATTTTATGTTACTAATTCAAATGCAAGAGTTCATAAAGATCAAAAATTTTTCATCTCCTTTCAATCTGTCTAATTTTGCTTGCAATATTCTTACAAAATTGTGACATTTTATTTTGAATTATTTAAAATCTGAACTGTAATTATGTAATCTGGAAACATATGATAAAGAATTTATTTCACAGAATCACAAAATCATAGAATCACAGAATGTTAGGGGTTGGAAGGGACCTCAAAAGATCATCTAGTTCAGTCCCCCTGCCAGAGCAGGATGACCTGGAATAAGTCACACAGGAATGTGTCCAGGCGGGTTTTGAATGTCTCCAGAGAAGGAGACTCCACAACCTCCCTGGGCAGCCTGTGCCAGTGCTCTGTCACCCTCACAGTGAAAAAGATTTTCCCAGTGATTTCCCCTGTGTTCCAAATTGTACCCATTGCCCCTTGTCCTGTCATTGGACGTCACTGAAAAGAGCCTGGCTCCATCCTCCTGACACTCCCCCTTGACATGTTTATAAACATTTATGAGATCACCTCTCAGCCTCCTCTTCTCCAAGGTCAAGAGACCCAGCTCCTTCAGCCTTTCCTCATAAGGGAGATGTTCCACTCCCTTCATCATCTTTGTGGCTCTGCGCTGGACTCTCTCAAGTTCCCTGTCCTTCTTGAGTTGAGGGGCCCAGAACTGGACACAAGATTCCAGATGTGTCCTCACCAGGGCAGAGTAAAAGGGAAGGAGGACCGCTCTCGACCTACTGGCCACATGCCAGGATGCACTTGGCCTTCTTGGCCACGAGGGCACATTGCTGGCTCATGGTCATCCTGTTGTCCACTAGAACCCCCAGGTCCCTTTCCCCTACGCTGCTCTCCAGCAGGTCAGTCCCCAACCTATACTGGTACCTGGGATTATTCTCTCCCAGATGTAAGACTATTCACTTGCCCTTGCTTTATTTGATAAAATTTCTCTCCACACAACTCTCCAGCCTATCTAAGTCTCTTTGAATGGCTGCACAGCCTTCTGGTGTGTCAATCACTCCTCCCAGTTTTGTGTCGTCAGCAAACTTGCTGACAACGCTCTCTAATCCTTTATCCAGGTCCTTGATGAATATATTGAAAAGCACTGGCCCCAGTACCGTCCCCTAAGGGACTCCACTAGATACAGGCCTTCAGTTAGACTCTGTCCCATTGACCGTAACGCTCTGATTTCCTTACTTCAACCGGTCCACAGTCCACCTCACTACCCAATCATCCAGACCACTTGTCTTCATAAAAGGCTATCAGGTTGCTGTTTGATGTAGCCACACAACTTTAAATTCCGGTGGAAATTATACCTGTAAATGAAAATATCAGTTGTTTTCATGGATTATTCAAGCCATGTACCTCTCCTTTTACTGCAGTACTTACAGCATCTGACTTCCTGTTATTATACATACCACATTGTTGTTACCAGAATATCTACTTTTGTGTTTTTGTAGGCTTCAGCATAGTCAGTGTCTAGACCTTCTACATAACTCTTATTATATGGTACGAACTTTTCACAGAGTGCTTCCCTCAGCAGATCTTACAAGCTGGAACAAGCTTTGAGTAGTCTCTGGCTCATGTTCAGCCCTCAGTAACTCTGCCTTGGGCATAGGAAGATACCAGCAGATGTGAAAGTCACCTTCAATAGAGCAACTCAATAGAAATTTTCTTAATATTATAGTTCTCTACTGCCCTGATTTTTATACCATACAAATTCAGTCTAGCTGCTCATTAAACTGTTTAGGAAGAATGAAGGAGAAATACAGACTGCAGATTGTAATAGAGACCTTGAGTTATGAGTGATGATTTCTAGTTCCAAATTATTGTCAGTTCTTTTTTACTCATGGGATCCATTGCAGTGTACCAGCTTCTGTGTTGGAGTATGGAAGTTGATAGGATTAAATGAATGTAAAATCTCTGCAATGGAGAACACACTGCCTTAGAGCTGGAAAGCAGTTTACTGTGTAGGTCGTCAAAGGGTAACATCCAAATGCCCTCAGTGTTAGGGAATTTTGGATCCAAGCGGTAGAGGTTGCTTCCATGTCTGTCTGTAGCCTGTGTTTCAGATATGTGCTTCAGTGAGAAGGGGTGTTAAAATAATCAATACTAAAGGCTTCTGTCTCAATGGCAGAGTAAGTAGTAGACAGGTTTGCGTGCACTGGAATTGTTAACTGTGTAACTGCAAAATACAAGATCCCGTATGGGGAAGACAAGGAGATGTGCTAGGTTAGCTGAGACCTAACACAGAAGAAGAGGCTGAAGCTAGAGGTTCTCTGACTAAACATGTTCTTTAAATTGAAAATATAGAGTGAAGATTAGATTTTAATCTCTTTTTTTTTTTTTTCATTGATCTCTATCTAGCTTTGGAGATTTGTCTTCTCCTCCTAACAAAGAAGTTTGGGCTAATTTATTGTATTAGCACCGGTTGTGTGCTGAAAAGCCTAAAAGAACTCTATGACCTTGGAAAAATTTATGATTGTAGTCTGAGATTATGGGACACTGAATAAGTTTCATGAGTGAAATATAAGGGTAAATGTTAAGAGGCCTTTGAAGTCATCGATTATCACCAAGAAAAGTTCAGGCTTCCTGTAATCACATCAGATTAGTATTTATTGAATGTCAGTATATCTAAAGTGACAAAAGATATTGAATAAGCATTTGGCTGATTTAGTAAGTAATACATCAATGGACTATACCAGCTGTTCTTAAGTTCCCCCAGTAGTTAGTGTATGGTTTACAAGTTTGAGCTGAGCATCTAATCTTGTCATAAATGCACTGACATAAATCTTTGCTTTGTTCATCAGAAGAAATATTTTATTAAACAAGGAGAAGTTATGTTTTGAAAGTCAGATTAGGCAGGTAAAATTGGAAGTGTGTGTATCTACCGATAATATTTTGTAGTCCAGCAATAGAAAAGTTGTCTTTAGGATTCACATGCCCTGTTATTCCTATCACCTATCTGTTGCATAGCGTTATACAAACCATGAAGACCACAACTTTTGATGTTTTTTTTTTTAACAAATAGAATGGCAGTAAGTTTCAGGTTTGAGGTGGAAGATATGTTTACAAGTCGCTCCCATAAATTCTTCTGAACATTTACTACTTGTATGTTGGAAAGCACTCTTTTCACTGAGTTTTTCCAGTATTAAGGAATTCGGTATTGCCAGAGTGCTTGATAATCCCCATGTTACAGGAAAAAAAAAAAAAAAAGGTTTTCCGAGCCATTTAGCGTGGAGTTGTTTGTATTTCTGAGTTACCAGAACAAGTTCAAAACAGTTAATATATATTAATTTTTAGAAAATAGTGAGTTTATCCAGTTTTGTGGGGTTTATTCCTCATTTTTAAATAATTACACCATAGAGTGTACTAAGTTTTGTTGTATGAAACAGGATATAAGAAAGTACCTTGCATATTCATAGGGAGGAATTAAATGTTATTATGCATTACGAAAGTGATTGTTCCCCTGGACTTGGCACTGGTGAGGCCACACTTGAATCCTGTGTTCGCTTTGGGGCCCTTCACTCCAAGAAAGACACTTGAGGTGCTGGAGCGTGTCCAGAGAAGGGCAACAAAGCTGGTGAAGGGTCTAGAGCACAAGTCCTGTGAGGAGCAGCTGAGGATATTCGGGTTGTTCAGCCTGGAGAAAAGGAGGCTGAGGGGAGACCTTATTGCTCTCTACAACTACTTGAAAGGAGGTTGTGGCGAGATGACAGTTGATCTCTTCTCCCAAGAAACAAGTGATAGGACAAGGGGAAATAGCTTCAAGTTATGCCAGGGCAGTTTAAATTGGATATTGGGAAAAATTCCTTCACCTAAAGGGTTGTCAAGCACTGGAACAGGCTGCCCAAGGAAGCGGTTGATTTACTGTCCCTGGAATTATTTAAAAGACATATGGATGAGGTGCTTGGTGACATGATTTAGTGGTGGACTTGGCAGTGTTGAGTTTACAGTTCAACTCAATGGTCTTAAAGGTATTTTCCAACATAAATGATCCTATAATTGTAGTCTATAACTGACTTCGTATGTGTATACACATACATATGCATGTATATGATGCGTAATATAATGTGCATATATATATCTTCAGAGAAAATGTATTGCTTATTAGTTGTTTTGTTTTCTTCCCACTCCAGAGACAGCAATATCAGACACTGAAAAATCATTTGCTTTATGTTTGTAGTATGGGCGGTGCAATTGCTACCTAGTATCATATCTTAAGGATGACAAGAAATCAGAAGATTTTGCAAGAACTGATTTGCTGATTCTGATATGCCCCATGAAATGTGGATAAACAGTATTTTTGTAGTTCCTGGTCATGCATTAGATTTTCTCATTATATTGTCAATAAGTTACATTAAAATTGTTTACAATTATATTTCTCTTTTTGCTCTCTCTCTCTTTCCCCTCCCTTCATTCTAAAGCTGCTTAAGGAGATAGCTAGGAAACGCAGAAGCATACGTCTTGGGAGAGAAGTTGAATTAAAGCCATATATTGCAGCTCACTTTGAAGTTCTTCCTACAGAGTTCACGTTGGGTGATAAGAAGCATTACGGTGGCTTTGAGAATAAGCAACTGCAGAGTGGTCAAGAATATGTCTTCTTTGTATTGGCTGTAATGGAGCACTCAGAATCTGTAAGTTAGTTGATATTTTTCAATCCCAAAATTACTTTTCTACAATCACAAAAATATTTTTTAATGTTTATTCCACTTTCCAGAAGCTGGAGTTTTTCTCAAAAATATGTATCAGAGCATTGAACTTTTTTCTATTCTGCTTACATCTTTACTTTCTACTCCTGTGTATAACTGAAAGCTAAGGATCAACTTTTATTAGCTATATTGTGATCCTTCGCAAATCATTTTTTCTGCTGTTTGAGATCATTGACACGAGTTCTGAGATGTGATCTTCACAGCATCAATTTTCTAAAAATTTTAGGAAGAGTTCATCTCTTGCCTCGGGAAGATCTGTTGAATCAGAGGTGTCCACAGCTAACCTCTTTAGTTACAGTCATTCACTGACAACTTTGTTCACTGACAACATTGTCAGTGAATTGTTAGAAAGTTATAAAATAAATCAATCATAAGGAAAATTCCTGAGGTGACCTAAATAACGTGCTGTCATTCCTTTCTCTGTAATTTATCTTTAGTTAGGTCCTTTTATGCTTGAGTTAATCTACTGCATGTAATATAGTTTATTTTTTTCTTAAAGACAGAAATAGGACAATTGAAAAATGTTGCTATATACATCAACATTTTGACATACAATGAGTATTATGGTATCTTTCTAATTGCCACCTAGAACTGACAGGTACATTTGCTAGCTCAACCACTTGAAACTACTATACCAGTAATCTGAATACTAGTCAAATGCCTTCACTTAAAATTGCTTTCTTGATGTCAACAGAATTTGCATGCTTAAACATAGTGAGAATGAACTTTGAAACTGAATGGGTTTGGATACATAGCTTCATTTGAAAATAAAATAAGTGCTTACTGGAAGCTCTAGCATAAATCAAAAGTTGCCCTTTCACTTTCTGAGAGTGACTGCACAGAGAGTTCTAAACAGACTGCATCAGAACAGATCAAACTGGAGAAAGTAAACGGCTTTTGGCTATGAAGTTAGGTGGCCAAAAATCAGTGTGTCCAGAAATAACGTGTACTAAAATTTATCTTTTCAATACATGGTACCACTTCTTTTCTTTCTTTTTTTTTTTTGTTTTGTTTAAATTAAAGTCTTGGTCATTTCATATAGCCTCAAGGCTGTTACTTGGTTAGAGAGAAATCTGTATGGAAGAGCAGGAATAAATAAGGTTGTAAATTTACAGCTGAAAAGACTGGTATGGCAAAATTTATCTAGGGGCCTACTGTTGAAGATTTCAAAAGGCCTTGCTAAACTATACAATATGAACAATATCTAGTTTAGCATACCGTCTGAAATATCTATGTGATTAAATAGCATGAGGTAGTCACAGAGAGTGAAGGGTTTGTACGCATGAATGAGCTTCACCTCCCAGCGCTGCAGTGTACGTGCTTGCAGTATAGCTGGTTTTCATATAAAACTGTAGATCCTACTGGTGTATGAATTGTAACTTGTGAGGGATGTTTTCCCTGATATTCAAAATAGTTTCTACCTAAGGTTTCTTCTCCATAGAACACAAAATCTCTCTTTTATTTTGTAGAATGGAGGACTTGCTTTACTAGAGGCATGGGAGGTCTGAATTTTTTTAACTTAGTAAAACCAAAGCTGAGAGAGCTTATTATCACAGTCTATAAATACATTAAGCATGTTGTCAAGAGAAATAAAAAAAAAGCAGATAAATTTGGCAAAATGAAAAAATTAATTTGAATTAGTCATTAATACAGGTAGGTTGAAAATTAAAAGCAGCATTTTATTTACTGGAGGATAGGTAGTGCGTATTCGTACTATTTTCCCTCAGTATCCCTCTATCCCTTTCTAGGCATTTTTAATACCTGCTCCAAAGGAAGAGACTAAATACAAAGAATTTCTTACTGTATCTTTTGGCTTTTTTCTGTCTTTTGACAATAATGAAGCTGGGAAAAAACCTCTTTCAGCTCCAGTATTTCAGGAACGGAACATGGAGACTCCCCAATTTTTAAACAGCAATCACAGACTTTTAAAATGTTTAGTGCCAGGTTAAGTAAAAGAGCATAAAATAACTGGACATAGTTGGCATGAGTAACAGTTTAGTACCAGGTGGTATAACTGCCTCAACTTTGCAGGTCCAAATCCTATCTCTAAACTTAAACTCAGACACTGTCATACTCCAGAGCCCAAAACAAGGCCAAATGAAATGTAAAAAAACCCAGAAACGTGTCTCATTTGATAACACTTGTTCTGGCTTAGGTCATTTTTCAGTGCAGAGATGGTAAACAAAAAATATTATTTTCTCCTGGTGAAGTTATTCTATCTTAGCTGGCATTCATGATCTACTGATGAGTGAGGTTTTTAAATCCTTCACAAGAGTGATAGTTCAAATCTTAGTTTAATTCTGGTGAAGAGATCCCAGCAAAGACAAGAACTAAGTACAAACCCTTCTCCACTTCTGGCTTTACTATAGCTCAGAGTTCTTTACATGATCCAGTTTTAGCAGGCTGGCTCCTCAGCCTCTCCTATCTGTAATTTTAACTTTACAATCAGCCTTAGTTCAGACATCTGAGGTCATATCAGAATAAAAAAAAGTTACCGTTTTCCTGTCTCATGTCTTAATCCTCATCCAGCTGACTTTATGCCATCCAGTAAGGCAAAGATTTTCAATGACCTCTGTTAGTTTGTAATTCTAGTTCCATCCTTAAGACAGACTTTGACTATTTTGCTTCCCTTCATATTATACAGTGGCTTCCCCTTCTTTTTCCACCTTAATTTGAAGTTGTCTCGATTTTCTCTAAGAACACTCTGTTTGACAGATAGTTTTTGACTGATCAAAATCCACCACACTATTGCGATAGGATACTTTTCTAGGAACCTCCTACATTCAGTTCCCTTTAGTTTAACCTATAGTGCTCTCATTCTTTCAGAAGTATCCTTTATATCTTCCAAGAAGAAACAATGTTAAGCCAATATGAAACTAAACCAAAAAAACAAAATTTAACCGATGATGTTACATTCCTCAGTTTCCTGTTGGTTCATTGTTTAATTCTCTGTTTAAGTTGCAAATTGTTCTCTGAAGTGCTGTGTTCACTCATTTGTCTGCAGATGATTGCTAATCCATGGAGCACAAAATAAAGACAGCAGTAACCACACAGCATTCAGTTTGCAAGTTTATATACTGCCTGACTTGAAGAAAATTTTCATTGCTGTGTTCATTGAACAATTATCTTATATAGGTTTGGCTTAGATCTGGGATAGTTAATATTTTGAATGCACTGCTTTGTCATTAAGTAAGATTTATTTATTTGTGTAGACAATGTATGCAACCAGCCCGTATTCTGATCCTGTTGTGTCAATGGATCTTGATCCTCAACCAATTACAGATGAGGAGGAAGGCTTGATTTGGGTTGTTGGACCAGTTCTTGCGGTGGTGTTTATCATCTGTATTGTTATTGCTATACTTCTTTATAAAAGGTAAGTTTACCTTTTAGTTTTCTTATCAGGTGTGTATCTTTCTGATATAATGGTGATTTTATAATACTGTTCCACACTGCGGTTTTTGTACTGCAGTAGTAACTTGTTATTGCTTTGGGATATTTCTGTATTTATTAATGTTTTCCAGAACACTTCAGAAATTTTATTAAACTGACTGAAAGTTTCCAGTAATTACAGGTATATGGGTACGTTTTTCTACTGATGACACTTTATTTTTCTGCATTTAAATGTTTTCCCCACGTTGCATAAGATGGTGAAGAAGATATTTACTTGCATATACATATGTATGGAATTCGCACATTTGACTTTTTAAAATTTATTTTTTGATGTGTAATAGTAATATTAGGGGTTACATTCAGCTTGATGTTAAACATGATTTTCATCTCCGCTCAAGTAATTTGAGTTTTTACTTTTGACAGTTGGCCTCAATTTGGCAGTGTATCTATATGAATTTGAAGCTCTGAACTGAGAGATTAAATAAACATCAGTAGCTATTTCCTGCTAATCTTGCAATGAGATCAAACTTCACTCATTCTTCTTTCACTGTCTGTGGCAGAGATGTAGGCTTGCTATTACACAAAGGACTTTGCTCTGCCTTACAACATGCTAAATGAAAACTCTGTATGATGCGTTAATTTGTACATAGCAGGCTTTTACAGTGTAAATGAGTTCACATAGGTCAAGATACTAAGTAAAAACCAAAGAATTGAACCCATGAGGTTTATTTTAATATTCATATTTATTTTTCCTAATACATTTTTGAAATCTATTGATACAGTGTAATTGAGAAATACTAGAAAGATGCCTTGACCTTGTCAGGCAGGGGTCACACTGGGGGTAATTTTATTAAATGGAGTATATCTTTTAAAACTAATGGCTTTGATGCTGTCTCATGCACATAAATGTTTTAATTCTGCTACTCTGTATGCACTTCCTACCGTAAGTGTTTCTGATCAAATACCTCTGAAGGTTCATGTAGAGAGCTGGCTTCAGGTTTTGGAAAGAGAGTTCTTTGTTCAGCAGCAAAAAAATAGTCCGGGGTTAACCTTAGCTTTGAATTCCAAATAAGTATACATTTACAGAATGTTCTTTAGGGCTATAATCATGCAGCAGCATAATACATGGTCTATTGCTTGCAGATATTAGGTCTCCTGAAGGTTCCTGTTAATGATCACTGTCTTAGCCAATCTGATTGTTTAGCAACCACTGAATCTCTGTGTCTGCCTTTCACTTCAAAACAGGTCGTGAGAGATATACTAAAAGTTAAATACTCCTTTCTTCTGATTATTTTGGAGTGTTAAAAGTAAAACTTCTCCCATACTACAAAACAAATTGAAACAATAACATATAAAGCAGATGAGTAGTTGGTTCTGGAAATAGTGATTATATTTATGGAACCATAATAATAATCTGCAATTCTACAACCAAAAATGTTACAGGCATATTCCACAAATGAGCAGGTAAAATTTGTTAACAGTAGTGTGAAGAGATTGTCATTCACAGAAAACGGGGTACAAGTTTTCCATCTGGTATTTACTACAGGTACTAGAACTGCGCAGGCAAATATGCAAACTTTTTTTATTATTATTTATTTTCAGCTATAAGCTGTAAATTGTTAAGCTGCACTGATTTGGCAAATTACTTCTGAGAACTTATGACTGCAGTTTTGCCAGTCTATAGTTTTCTGTAAAATTTTCATTTCTGTAGAAATGTAATATGTAATTAGATTTACCTTTCTTTAGTGTATGCAACCTGGATGCAAGCTAACAGCTAGAGTTTGATAACTTTACTGTCTGTAGAACAGCAATAACTAGACAAGACAGTGGGGGGTTTTAGCATAGTACTTTGAGAAAACAGTGACATTTGATTTCTAACTCAACGCTGTTAAGGGGGTTTACTTTGGTTACAGGAGTTGGACATGGTAAAATATGCAATAAAATGTAGGAAGACAAGAAATTTTAATGAATGCAGGAAATTTTGGAAGTATATTGCTAGAATATATTGATAGGGAGAGAAAAAAATGAAGGATAGAGGACATCTGCGTAATATATGAAAACACATATGAAAAATTTTAAAAAGGGGAAGATGATGCTGAAGAATTTGTGGCGGGAAGACAGTGGGGAAATGATCATGTCTTTTGAAGTGCGAAGAGTAGTGACTCAGATAACGGTCAACTATGCCTAATTCCCGTTGTCTATAGAAGCCTTTATGAACAGACTTGCACTTTTAATCTCATGATTTACAATATTACTTTTGCATTTTAATTTCATTCATAGAGTAAGGCTGACTGCAGTATCTAAAAGAATCATTTTAGGGAGAGAAGTCTTGCCCTCCTTTAAAACACATGCTTTCACAGATAGTATGCATGGATTAGTGCACACAGATAGTTGAATGGATTGGTGTGAATTATATTTCACTGTCCCAAAGACTAGTGTGTGTTCAACCCCCTTATTATTTGTTGGTCAGTTTGTGTAAAAGTTATTGCCTCTACATTTACTTTTCTTAAAATCTGAAAGCAAAGATAGTGCATAGAAAGACTTTTTAATCATATATTAGAATATAGCCAAAAAAGTTCTTTGCAGCTTAGTTCTTAACATTAATAGATGGGGGCAATACTAAAGAGAAGTACCTTTTATTGTCATTGTGTATACCTACAATATAATATCCAACACAATTAAGGATGATTCTGCTACTGTGCACAGAAGAGATCAAAGATTCACAGAACTAAGCATTCACAATTCTGGAGACTGCACCATCCCAGCCCTGCTTAGAGTGTGACCAGCTACAGCAGATTGCCCAGAGGCATGTCCATGCAAATTTCACTGTATCCAGAAATGATACTCCACAAAAGCTCTAGACAACACATTCCAGTGTACAACTGTTCTCACAGTAATTTTCCTAAATTAAGGTTGCATTTCCTGTCTTTCTAGAGCTGATGTCTTGGCAAATGGAATTGACTTGATCAGTGACACGTTCAGTGTTCTCTGTCCTTGCAGCAGTGATACCACTGTGCAATCATACTGAAGAGAGACAATTATCTACTGAACTTAAGTCTAAGCAGTCAAATTTAAGCATCTAAGTAAACTAACTAAACATCACTTTCTTTTTGCTCATATTCTTGCCCTCAGGAAAATAAAATTCTTGCTTATTCAGATATGCATGGTTCATATAGCATAGTAAGATTTATATCCTAAGTCTCAAACAAAGACACTTACCTAGATATAGAGATGATTCAGGCTAAGTCTCCCCTAAAGGTGATTTTGATAAAACTCTGCCCTGCTGCAACATACAACTTAGGCAAACCCACAGTAAATCTTTTCAATTAATTTTTGAATGTGTGATTCAGTTAACTAGGGTTTAGATGGTTAGGAATCCAATTAGTGAATGTTAAAGAGCTCTAGAAATTGTTTAGTGTATTTCAGAAACTGACAGACTAGGAAGAGTGCATGTCTCCTAAAACCTTTTAAAACTATTTTCCAATTTCTATGATTCTGTGATTCATCATGACAAAGTTCACTTTGGATTTGGACTGTAAGGGACCTTTAAGTGTCATCTAGCCCAAGCACCTTGCAGTGAGGGCGAAAACTTCATCTAGATCAGATTTATAAGGGTCCCATCCAACCTGACCTCAAATGTTTCTAGGCATGGAATATCTACACCCTCTCTGGGCATTTGTTCCAGTATCTCATCACCATCATTATAAAAAATCTGTTCCTTATATCCAGTCTGAATCCACTTTTCTTTAGTTTAAAACCATTGCTCCACGTCCTATCACTACAGATCCTGCTAAAAAGATTATCCTGGTCTTTCTTACAGGCCCCCTTAAAGCGTTGAAAGGCTTCAATAAGGTCTCCCTGGAGCCTTCTCTTCTCCAGGATAAACAATCCTAAGTCTCTCAACCTGTCCTCATAAGAGGGATGTTCTGTCTCTGATAATTTTTGTAGCCCTCCTCTGGACCTGCTCCAATAGGTCCATGTTTTTCCTGTGCTGAGGACTCTGGAGCTGAACACAGTACTGCAGGTGGGATCTTACCAGAGCAGAGCAGGGAGGGACAATCCCCTCCCTTGACCTACTGAATCCTGGGTTATAAGAAGACACGTGTTTCTAAGGGAAAAAAACCCAGATGTTGAAAAAAACCACAGAAATTAAAACGAGGCATTCAAGCAATGATGAAGAGTTCTGTAAAAAACTTTTTCATAACATGTGAGTAATCTGGTCATTGAAGGATCCAGGCTATTAAAACTTTGTAAAACCTTTATTTATTATGATCAACAGACAGATAGAACAATGTATTTAAGTGTGTGTATAGTGGAACTTATTGATGGGAGATAATAAATTATCTTCCCTCTTTAGTTGATTTTTATAGATCATAGATCACTACAAATCTGTATAGTTCACTGTAGACCTCAAGATTGTCATATATCTTCTAAATCTAAGAAGGTATGTAATACTTATTTGGAGAAAGGTTTATACTTTACTTTTCAGGGCACTGTTAATTATTTTGTTGCTACTTTATTAGCTGGTTCTGGAAAGTAATTTTAAAAGTTTTCTTTTTTTTTTAATGTAAAATTTAATACAAGTCTTATGTACCTCATGTGTTTAACCTTATTCTTCATTTGCCTTTTTCTCCTTTCCTTTCTCCTCTGCAGTCTACCTTCATCTTTCCTCTCCTCCCTCCTCTCATTTCTCTTCTCTCTAGAACTCTAGAGGCAACTACATCTTTGCGAGATGACATTTCTCGGTGTAATGTCAACTGTGCTTCAATAGCTCAAATTAAACACGCTTTCTGCATTATCTCACTGACTAAAATTAGAGGTGGCACTACTTTGCAGATACTGAATAAAAGATGTTATTTTCAGCAGAAGATTCACTTTGGACTTCATCTTGTGTCCTCCACTTATTCCGTGATTCCCAGTCATTAAATATTTTGATGAACTGTCATTCTTAATTTTGTTTACTTATATAACTTTACTGTAAGT